AAACACCAACAAAGGGCAATTTGCATCCTGATCTTAAATGCTGATCTTGTTCTGGTTCTTGTTGTCTGCATGGTGGGAATGAAGGTTGGGTGTGAGGATAAAAGAGAGGAAAAATCATGCCCTCAGGATGGCGGAGTTCCTTTTGATGTTCAGCAACGTGTCAGTTTATGTGTGTTTGTAAAAAAGGCAGATAGCTACAGGTTACTGGTTACTGGTTACAGGTAACTTTCTACTGATGCTGTATTTTATGTTCTTCAGGTGGAATTGCTTATTTTTAGCTTTCCATTATGGTGAAGGAGGGTTTTACCTTTGCTGCAGCGACACGTCTGCTGTAGATGCATCCGAGGGCAGAGGCTTAGTCCTGTCAGTGCCTGATTCAACTTGACCCTTTTCCCTCTTAAGTGGAGGAAGAGCTCGCTTTTTCCTGCCCCTAGGGCTAAAAACATGAGAGAGGGACATTAGGAAAGTGTGAAAATCCCTGATTGTTAAAAAAAATATTTTGGCTGTCATCGTGGAATGGAGAACAAGTTAAAATAGAGGAAGAAAAATATGAGTTTATTTATGTTGAAGAACATCAGAGCAGCCTAATGGCAGTAGCGAATATGAGAGAAGTGAAGAAGAGAAAAGGAGAGGCAGCAGGATCTGGCCTGTTTGTGATGTTTTTAGGCTGACATCATCGCTTCACCAGCAGGTGGTGTGTGTTGGATCATCAGCTGGAGATGTAAAACAGCCTAGTCTCACCTCACACACCAAGCAACGCACTGAAAGGAAAACAGACAACCTCTGTCACTACAAGGCCACCAACGTAGTGTGAAACCAAAAGTGGGAATAAGCTGAATGGACATGTAAAATCACAGATGGGTCTGGTTCTGAGCTATTCAAATATTATAGTTCAAAGATTCTTTCTGAGTATATCTAAAATGTAAGGTGCTCTACCTTTCTCCATCCCCTCAGACAGGATTGGTTTCCCTGAAGCTGGCGTTCAGCTGGATGGTTTTGGCTACATGTTAGTCAGACCTTTTCTCTCCTCATTACATTTTAAATCAAATCTGAAGAAACCCAGTGTTCCACTGGCTATAAAGAAGATTTATTTAGCCTCATGAAGCTCAGTTCCAGGCTGAAAATGTTGTGTCTCAACACTAAAAGTGTCCGTTGCAGCCTAAAAAGTGTATTATTGTTATGTTTTGGTTGTTGTAGTTTTCCACTGATAATAAATGCATGTCAGTCATCTTGTCTGCTTCAGGCTGCTGCATATAAAATGAGGAATACATTCCTCGCTCATCTGTTAGCGGTGTTCCAGCTGCAGCAAACACAACATCTGTTTAGAGTATGTCAAAGTTTCTCAAAATAAGGAAATAAAGTTATTCTAATGAATTAACTTTATACTCTTTTAACACCAGTTAGTGTTGACCATAAAAGCTCACACTGTGAGACTCAGCAAAAGGACAAAAACAATAATTTAATTGCTGTAATAATACTATAATTGATGACTTCTGTTCTGACAGTAAGTGCTCTAATGGAGTCAGTCACAAACTAGGGAAATTACCACAAGAAAGTCTTAGAGACCAAGTTCACTCATTTTTTAACACATTTGGAGTGGTTTCTCGTATAAATGAATGCTTTGTGAGTCGATCTCTGTGGTAAAAATGCTCTGGCGTTTCTGTTTCAAGAAGTAGAAGTTAGCCACAGGAGAGGGTTTGCAGAAGACGGTAGGATTTGGAAACCTTTTTCCTGATATTCAAATATCTTGCCTCTGATTGGCGATTGGCTAATGCTAATGATTAGCTTCTACTAGCTGAAACATACTCTGCCGTGACCCTAACCCTGGACGCTAAATTTACAACAGCTTTCCCCAGTTGTGGACCAAGATGGCTGAGTCCATCAGCACTAATTTTCTGTGTGATGCAGACCTGTGTGGCGTTTCCCCGTCTATTTACTATCAGGGGCCAATGCAGGAAATGATAGGGGGGTACTTCATGTTCAGCCTGCATGTGAAACTCAGAGTTATCAATCATATTTCAAACATACTCTTGGCTGGTCTGATAAATGCTGTCGATTTCACCAGGTTTCAGCAGAAGTTTAAAGGTCACACCGAGCAGGTGTTTGGGTCCTGAACTACACACATACTGAGACACACATTTATACCTGAGATAAGAGGATGTGTCCGGTTTTACACCCCTTATAAACCATCCATAGTCAGGTGTGAGGTTCGGACAGTGTACTCCCTCCAATAAATGACAGTTTTCTACATCAGTAAACCTCTGGAGACCTGCAGAAATGCAGACGGGATCATCAGGTCTCTTAGGAAAAAATCAACCTAAATCACTATTAAATCCTTGTAAGAATTATAAAGGTATTCATTCACTTTCATGACATACGGTATGTGCACAAGAATTGTGTTCTCCAGCTTATGTTGATCAGATGTTATGTTGACAGAAATTATGTGCAGTATCATCAATTTCTACTCTTTTGCTTGTATCTGAGTAAAAAAAGGCAAAATTTGTATTATTTTAGTTTTTGTTGCCTTTAGAGTTTTCGTTCTTGTCATTTAGTGGAGCAACAGATCAAAAACTTCACGGTTCGGATCAGATCGCGATTTTCAGTCAGGGATCGGATTGTTATTTTGGATCAGCACAAAGAAAAGACAAATAACTTTGCCCTGTCTTTATTCTGTAGAAAACTTAGTGCAACATGTTTCTGTTCAATTTGCAACTTGCTATAAAAAAAAGAACTACAGAGAGGTCCGATTGCTGATTAAATGGTAAAACTGCTTGCCACCGCCTGCGTTTCCTGCTTTCAAATCAATCAAATCAAAGATACTTTATTAATCCCAGAGGGAAATTAGAGTTTCTATGGGGTTAGATTTATGCCAATAGGATCAAGAAAAACACTTTGGAGAGCAAACAAATTTTAAGACATTGAGAGAAAAAACATTGGTTTCAAAAGAAAAACTTACGATCTGAATCAGATTCTTAAAATGATCAAGAAAAGCACTTTGACAGTCAAACAAAAATTAAGAAATTGACAGAATAAAAATATTGACTAAAGGAAAAAAACATGTTTCAAAAGTAAAACTTACTATCTGAATCAACTTCTTAAAATGAGTAACAAAGTATGTTTCCTTTTTCTGTTTGCCTCTATGTGTTTTTGTTATCAATTTCCTTAGTTTTGTTCTCGCTGCTCAGAGCTTTGCTCTCACTTCCAGATTTGCACTTACACTGTCTGGCTTTCTCCTTTGCAATCCCTGAGTTTTTGGTTGCAATTCTGACACAACCCTTTCGGGTGGGCGGGGCTTCTGAGAAGTCCTCTCCCATAGGACAGTGGTTTCTCTTGAGTGACAGTTCAGTGACCTGGAAGTGATGTAGCCTCCAAGACTTTTTTTCCTACCTGGTCAACAACATGAATTTTGAGCCCCAAACAGGTTATTTCTGCTGTCTGTGGTGTCTACTGAGGATCTAAAGTGAGTATTGATAATATATTTTATCTTTTCTTAGTTAATCTGTAAGTTAAGCCACTCTGTAAGTTGGTTTTAACCAGACGCTAGCTCACTAGCTAGCTGCTAAGCAAGCCATTGTGCTATCCTGAGGACAATGGTCTACTGTTCCAGAGAGACGTATTAAAAACTCATCTTAACATATTCATTACTGGTTTCATGGAATAAATTATTGCAGTTTATGTTAATAAGTTTGCTAATTTTTCAAGAACCTGTGGAACATCAGAGACTTTGCAGCTATTAGAGCTAACCTGTGTACTGCTAACTTGCTACAGAGGAAGCAGCAGAAAGCTGAGCTAACAGGCTGTTTTGCAGGTAAATACTCTTTTAGTGGAACTGCAGGACTTTTATGGTATAACTCGGAATCTACATGAGCTATTGTGGGAAGACTTTTAAACTACATTTACATACAGATAAATGTATTTTTTATTCCATGTTACTTGGACGGACTAAACAAGTTCATAGTTCTGCCTGCTCCCTTTTCAATGAAACGAATGGATTATATGATGTAACTCTCTAGTAAATCTATAGTAACCATAGTCTGGTGACTAGTGTCTAGTTTAGCTACATTTAGCTTAGCTGGAGTAATATAGTCTAACTCTGCCTCAACTGGTGACTTTCTACTTCATTGTCAGCCAGACAAAATGTTGCTGCAAACGCCCAAGGTACTGACCCCACAATTGAAAATCATAATGTCCACATTTATTTCCCACAATCTCAAACGTCACACTAAAATTAAACTTTTAGCTCTGATTTAATTATTCCTTATTGATATCAGTTTTCCCTTTGTTGTAGGTAATCCTCGGGTGTCAGCAGGAGGAGGTGACTACCTGCTTAACGGAGCACCCTGGTTCTGAGCCAGTTGCACCTTTGTGCTGCTCTTTGGGGAGGCGATGCTCAGCAGGTTAAACAACTGTAAAATTGATTTTGTTCGTAGTTTTTGTTTAGATCTCATACATCACCAGTTTTTCTTTCTTACAGACACATACCTCCATGTGGTCAGGTGGTGTTGGTGTGAGCTGGGAGAGCACACTCATGTCGTCATCTCCTTGTGCCGTCTCCAGGATCCTGATGGGAGTTCTCTGTGCCTATAAAGCAGGGGTATTTACTTCTGGGCCTGGAGGGCCGGTATCCAGCACGTTTTAGTTTTAACTGTTTCAACACACCTGATTTCAGTCCACAGATAATTAACAGGCTTCTGCAGAGCTGCTGCACAGGTAATTCAACCACTGATTCAAGTGTGTTGGAGCAGGGAAACAACTAAAACGTGCTGGATACCAGCCATCCAGGACTAGAATTGAATACCCCTGCTATAAAGCCTTCCTCCCTCCTCCGGACTTTAAACATTAGTATTTTATTATGGTTTACCTGATTTAGTAAATAAATATCAGTTTATAAATTTCCTGTTTTGGTGCCTGTCCATAAAATCCTGCATTAGACACCGAGAGCTGAATGGATGCCTTTCATTCACGTTGACATTCAATGTATTTTTAAAGACACACTTGAAATTAATATCAGCTGTTTAACAGAGTGGTGCAAAGTAATTGCTGATGTCATGATTTTTGCAACAACCTGACCTTCATGCAGAGAAACTCAGGAGACAAATGAGCTAAAAACAGTTTATTAAAATGTTTGACGGATGACTGAAGAGGTAACAGCTGGAGATCAGGAACCAGAAGCTTCTGCGAGGAAGAGCAGAGGTTAGTAAGAGGCAACAGGTCAGGTTTTTCTTAGACTGTGCAGGTAGCTTACAGATTCTGAGAAACGCCACAGAGATGGAGCCACAGGTTTTAGTGTTTAAAGATCAGAAGGCCCTGAGGTAAAATTGAGTGTTAGTAATGACTAAAGAATGACTTACAAAAGGAAAAGTTTAGGTACTTACGGTCTGAAGTTGTAGCGCAGACGGGAGACAGCAGAATGGTGGAGAAACAACCAGAAGTCTGGGAGAATGACAGCATGAGTTGCAAGCGGGTGAGCAGAAGGTAGTGGGTAAGCCGACTGCCAGTATGGTTGTGTGATCAGGAGCTTCAAGGAAAGAATTCCCATAGATCTGCATAGAACATGAGAACGTAAGTTTGAAAAACGGCAGAGTCATGGGCTAGATATGGGTTAAAACACTCTGAGTGACCAGCTACCAGCTTTTATTCAAGGATGGGGTTACAGGTGTGTGAGGATGTGCCTGCCCCATGAGAAGAGTTTTTAGGTAAGCCTCTCCATGGTGCTCTGCAATGGTGACTAGCAAGGCTAATGAAGAGATTAAAGGGAACACAAACCCAGGACTCCGACCCAAACTCCTAACAGCAACACAACGACTCCTCCCACAGGCGGTTGTTCCACGGAGCACGCAGCTGCCCGAAGTTCAGCATCAGGCAACCTGTAGGCGATGTAATCATACGTGGCTTCTGAGCATGCAAGTTTATTCTAACTGTACAGCGTACAATAATAATAAAGATTTATATTGTGTTGTGTTGCTCACCTTACAGGTTCTTTTAAAATCTTAACCTGTGCCTGCTTACAGCAGGTCTTTCAGGTCTTTTGAACTAGACACAGAGAGGTTCAGGCACAGGTACTTAGTCAGACTCCTGATATGATAGAGCATCCACCACCACAGACTCCTGATATGGTAGAGCATCCACCAGCACCGACTCCTGATATGGTAGAGCATCCACCAGCACCGACTCCTGATATGATAGAGCATCCACCACCACAGACTCCTGATATGGTAGAGCATCCACCAGCACCGACTCCTGATATGATAGAGCATCCACCACCACAGACTCCTGATATGGTAGAGCATCCACCAGCACCAACTCCTGATATGATAGAGCATCCACCACCACAGACTCCTGATATGGTAGAGCATCCACCAGCACCGACTCCTGATATGATAGAGCATCCACCACCACAGACTCCTGATATGGTAGAGCATCCACCAGCACCGACTCCTGATATGATAGAGCATCCACCACCACAGACTCCTGATATGATAGAGCATCCACCACGGACTCGAACAATAGGTCCATATGCTTGTCAACAGGAAACAATGGAAAAAGATTACCATTAGTACAGATATTTATCCATAACCATCACTGTGGGTTTATTATACAGCATATGAACTACATGAGGTGGGATTGGTCTGCAGTAGGGATGTGTATTTTTGACAGAATTTATTGTAGGAATATTCAATAAACAGTCCAAACTGATACTTAACCTATATAACATGAGTTATCTGAACCATAATATCGAGATTTAAATTTCAATGGTGGAAACAAAACCCAATGCACACTGCTGCCAACTAGCGGGCGACATTTAAAGTGCACCAAAAACAAAGAAAATACACAAATGTTTGCATGTAAATTCTTCCAAAAATTAGATACACTGCTTCTGAAAATGGATGTAATATCTCAGGAAAAAATATCACGATATATTGCCATATCGATATTTTAGAGACACAGTTTGAGAATATCGATACAATATTACTGGGAAAATATATTGCAATATATTGTCATATTGATATTTTCTTACATCCCTTGTCTGCAGTGTACTTTGTGTACACTATGGTGTGTCTTAGCTCACCAGCTGCAGTTGAAGCATGTGGCCGTGTAGCACTTCCATTGTAATGCATTGCAGTAGTTTTCAATCTAAAAAGAAAGAATAAATAAATAAATAATAGCTTTTAGACAAAAATATAGATTTTATGTAAAAATTAATTAAAAGCATGTATTTAACTCATTATTGATTATCTGTCCTGGATAACATTCTTTTGATGGAGAATACAGAGCACGTGACAGAAAGCACATTGAATCTGATTTGTCTTGTTCTGACAAACAAATGTCAGATCTGTATACTGGAAAGAAATGTATTATCAAACACACTCACTTAGATAATTATTCAGTCAGAGTTACATCATAAAATCCATTCGTTTCACTGAAAAAGGAGCAGGCAGAACTATGAACTTGTTTAGTCCGTCCAAGTAACATGGAATAAAAAATACATGTATCTGTATGTAAATGTAGTTTAAATGTCTTCCCACAATAGCTCATGTAGATTCCGAGTTATACCATAAAAATCCTGCAGTTCCACTAAAAGAGTATTTACCTGCAAAACAGCCTGTTAGCTCAGCTTTCTGCTGCTTCCTCTGTAGCAAGTTAGCAGTACACAGGTTAGCTCTAATAGCTGCAAAGTCTCTGATGTTCCACAGGTTCCTGAAAAATTAGCAAACTTATTAACATAAACTGCAATAATTTATTCCATGAAACCAGTAATGAATATATTAAGATGAGTTTTTAATACGTCTCTCTGGAACAGTAGACCATTGTCCTGAGGCTAGCACAATGGCTTGCTTAGCAGCTAGCTAGTGAGCTAGCGTCTGGTTAAAACCAACTTAAAAAGTGGCTTAACTTACAGATTAACTAAGAAAAGATAAAATATATTATCAATACTCACTTTAGATCCTCAGTAGACACCACAGACAGCAGAAATAACCTATTTGGGGCTCAAAATTCATGTTGTTGACCAGGTGGAAAAAAAAAATGTCTGGGAAGCTACATCACTTCCAGGTCACTGAACTGTCACTCAAGAGAAACCACTGTCCTATGGGAGAGGACTTCTCAGAAGCCCCGCCCACCCAAAAGGGTTGTGTCAGAATTGCAACCAAAAACTCAGGGATTGCAAAGGAGAAAGCCAGACAGTGTAAGTGCAAATCTGGTAGTGAGAGCAAAGCTGTGAGCAGCGAGAACAAAACTAAGGAAATTGATAACAAAAACACATAGAGGCAAACAGAAAAAGGAAACATACTTTGTTACTCATTTTAAGAAGTTGATTCAGATAGTAAGTTTTACTTTCGAAACATGTTTTTTTTCCTTTAGTCAATATTTTTGTTCTGTCAATTTCTTAATTTTTGTTTGACCGTCAAAGTGTTTTTCTTGATCATTTTAAGAATCTGATTCAGATCGTAAGTTTTTCTTTTGAAACCAATGTTTTTTCTCTCAATGTCTTAAAATTTGTTTGCTCTCCAAAGTGTTTTTCTTGATCCTATTGGCACAAATCTAATCCCATAAGTTTCAGTACACACAATTCAGAGATCAGACATACATGGGCAAGACACATGACAAGAATTGGTGACTGTGGTCATTCGCAACCCTGAGTCGCGCTACCTTAATAGAGGTAAGTGGGGTTACATGAGGATTGGTTCAGGTGGAGGGAAAAATGCACTTCAGAGCTACCCTCCCACCAGGAGGGCAGCTTTGCTCTGCAAAAAAAAACCCACCTCTGACAGATATGCAACAGACTTCAGACAACACAACATAAGTGTCAACTTGGTGGGGTGGTAGGTTGGGACTATCCCTACTTCAGTTCCTGCAGCCACAATGAAGCAGCGCATGTCACCTCAGTGTGGAAAGGGGGAGGAGCATTGAGGGTTGGAGCTAGTGGTAGCTATTTTCATAATGTGGTCCGTTTTTAACATTAACACCATTTTGCCCACACTCCAGAGAGAGCCAAGAGCTTTTATGTTGTAAATATTTTTCCAGAGTTCTTCACCACCACTTATTCCTTCCTCATCTCCGCCCTTTGTCTGTCTCTTCGTCACCCTGTTATCGGTGTGTATGTCTGCTTGTGAGTGCATCACTCATGTGTTTGCTTGAATGGTTATGTAATTGGAAATGTAATTTGAAAGCGAAAACTGTTGTGCCTACACAAGCAGCTGGCTCTGTGGGGTGACTTGGTTGTTCCATGTGAGTAACTTTGGCTTGTTGTGCACAGCATGAAGCACTGGACGTAAAACTGCAGCACTTAGCCTCGTAAAGCTGTTTTCCAGCTTCCATCTCAGCCTCAACAGCATGATTTTTTTCTCTTGTGGAAGTCTAATTTATGTTTGCATGTTCATATTTGTGAATTAACTTAAGCTTTAAATGTTATGCTGACTAATCAGCAGCAGCTAAACAAAAACCTGTATGGTGCTATGTGTTATTCATAGCAACCTGCCACTTAAGGTTTTTAAGAATGTGGCCAGTCTTATGAAAGCTTTTAATTCTAGGTAAACTGGGTTAAAAATGCCTTCTATTTAACATTCCCAGGTCTCCCGCCTGCAGGACTCTTGGAAATACATGAATACTATTTTAATTCTTTCTCTGTTTATTACATTTTGCAGAAAACCATGTAAAAATGATCTTGTTAGCAAAGCAAAACATTATTACTGTTGACTGGTTTATCTCAGGCAATCATTCTTATATTTTTATCTTCAGACTGGCAAAACAAAGACCATTGTTCTGACTCACCTCCCTGAGCTATAATCAACAGTGGCAGTGAAAATGAATCCTTCTAGTTCTTAAGGCATACACTTTGCAAGCCAAACCGGTGGCCCATTGTAGCCAAGATGAGACACAAGCTGGAGCATCTGGAAGTCTACGTATGCTGTGCAGTTGTTGACTGTTCTGTTCATTACAAACCCACTTCTGCCCTGACAAAGGGAGCATTTTGGATTGGCTAACCCTCTAGGTATTGTGTAAGTCAACATTCTGTGGCCCATTTTGGGCCAACTGAAAACAATAAGTGCAATCAGCGGCCGTGAACGAGCTGTTTCTCCCCTCCCTGAAAACACTCATCAGGTGATCTAGGTCTTGACCATTGCAATCAGCTGCTGCATGAACACCTGTTTCCAAATAGTAGCACAGCATAAATTTGCTGGCATAACTGAAGCGTCAGCGGAAGCGTCAGCCCTTGTGTCCCAGCCCCTCCGGTGTAAGACACTCCGGGGTAAAGACATACGTGTCTACCTGCGTGTGTCCACAGAGCAAACAAGCTTGACCCTGATGCTGCTCAATCGACACCTTGCAAAATGTGCCATTATCCTATACCTGTGGTCGCTGGCTTCAGAGGAAGGTCACACACAGCAAACCGCTTTCGCAACCTTCAAAACCTCCGCTCGCTAAAACCAACTCCCCCCGAAGACATCCACCTGTCTATGGGACTTTGGAACTGCCAATCAGCTGTAAACAAAGCTGACTTCATTACCGCATATGCAAACCACCTGTCACTCGATGCACTGGCTCTCACAGAGACCTGGATCAAACCATGTGACAATGCTACCCCATCTGCTCTCTCAGTTAACCACACTTTCTCCCACACTTCTCGTGCATCTGGCCGAGGTGGTGGAACGGGCATGTTAATTTCCAACAAATGGATATACAGTCAGTTGCTACCCATCACTAAATACAACTCCTTTGAATACCATGCCATCCAGGTGACTGTACCGAAAAAATTCTTTTTGGTTGTCATATGTTTATGTTTATATTTATTCATTTCACAGATGCTTTTATCCAAAGTGACTTACAATTTATAACCCATAGGGCATGTTGTGATCTGTGGGGGAAACCGGAGAACCCGGAGGAAACCCACGCATGCATGGGGAGAACACGCAGAAAGGCTGCAGCCGAGTTTGGAACCTGCGACCGTCGTGCTGCGAGGCAACAGTGCTAACCACTGTGCCACCATGCAGCCCAGTCATATATCGCCAACCAGGTCAGCTCGTAGACTTTCTTGATGAACTCGAAACCCTGCTTTCCTCCATTCCTGAGCACGACTGTCCCGCAATGGTCCTTGGAGACATGAATATTCACCTGGACAGTC